CACCCCCCCTGCCCGCCCCCCCCCTAATAATACGCCTTTGCTTTACGACTATTAATTAGCCAGGTTTTGCTTTCTGTAGGAGGGGATACTGTAGGAGGGGAGGTGATATTATAGAGGGTAGGACGTGGAATTAAAAGATTTGCACGGAGATTTGCAGGAATTAAAAAGATCTGAAGGGTTAGGGCCTTAGTTCTTTTATATTCTTATTTTGGTGGTGTAAATCTAAAAACTTTTACAACTAGATTTACACTAGATTTATGACGATTTTAATCTAAAATAATATTCCCTGGCTAGCTACCCTCGCAAAAGTCGCGAAAGTCGCGAGTCTTTATATAAAATAATTGTATGTAAAATTTATTTGTATAACTTAGTGCAAAAGTATTTACCTCGCGAGCTAAACATGCTCTTAATAATTTATAAAATTTAGCTTAGAAAACCCTAGGTTTAATACAAATATATTGAGGTAGAGCTAATAGAATAGGGAATTTTACTATTAATTAGATATATTATATTATAGTAAAAATAGTAAGTTTTAGCTATTTTTAGTATTTAGATAGGAAATAAGCTGTTATTTAAAGTCTAGTAATATAGCTAGATCTAGAGTTTTTAAAGACTTTCCTACTTTTCTTATACTAGTTAAATTAGAAATAATACTCTAGAAATTCTTATAGTTTCTTACTATATAATTAAAGTATTACTTATATTATATACTTACGAAATAATGAAAGGCCTTTAAACTCGAGTTTATTATTATTATTTCTAAATTTAAAGAATAATATTCTTAGAGTTAGCTAAAATTATTATATTTATTCTATAGAACTCTATTAACTACCTAATTATCTTTACCTTACTAGGTAGGCTATAAGGCTTATATACTAGACGGAAGTAGATTACTTAAAAGAAGGGAAAAGGCTAAAGAAAAGGTTTCCACGTCTCTCGCTAAGTAGTACCGTAATTCTATACCTGTTTACTAGCCTAGTATTGTCCTACTATTATTTTGTTTTCTTTTGAATTCTCGAAAGTAAGGCTTACTAATACCAAGCAGGTATATGGGGGCACGACTTTAGCTACATTAACCACAGTTCCCTTTGCCTTATAAACAAGCTTATCTGAACATTGTTTATATCATTCAACCTTATAAGTCTATTTGCTAATTTGGAGGATCTAAGCGGCGAAGAAGATAGGTACAAAACTTCAGAAGGTTTGCGGGCAAAAAGGATCAAAAGCTGAAGAACGTGAACAAAGGTAGAAAGACAACCTCAGTATATCACGCAGCAAACATTGTATTGGCTAAATCATTGATCTCCTGCGTAGACCCTTGTCCATGTAGATAAAAACGCTCACTGAATCGACCCAGTGTTCCTGTAGTTGTTCCTTTAACCCAACTGTAAACGATACGTGCAAGCGAGACAATTAATCAACAGACGAAGTTGGAGATCCCTTGCCAGCTCCGTCTCCCTTGATCTCACGTTTGCTCTCAGCCTGAGCATCTTTGTTAGGTTTCTCTACTACCCCTGTTGTAGTGGGTGGTTTGGGGCGGTCAGAGAGCGCCGTACCAGTGATAGACTTGTCCTCCTTGCCAGCTTCTTCGGCCTCATTTCCATCCTCCTCGTCTTCCTCGTCTTCCTCGTCACTTCTTATCATACTACGATTACAACTCGCAACAAATTCATCCTCACTACTTGGCAGCTCATCAAAACGAAAACTCTTAATAAGGTTGGGAGCCATGCCAACGGACCTTGATCGTCCATCTGGGCCCTTTGGGCGCTCCTCCACCTCATCGAATCTCGCACTGGTTAGTCCTTCAGTCCCCTCACACCTGCTTGAAAAATCCTCGAGTTGCTCAGAGTCCAGGTCGACCACGTAGGCCCATTCACACATGAGGCTGTCCAGGACAAATTCCAAGCTCAGTTTAATCAGCAAGGGAGACTCTGCTGTGGCAGATGCAACGGCTTCGAGAATTCTATGACCGAAGATGTCAGCAACTATGTAGTGAACCGCTGTCGTCTCAAAGTCTTCAAAGAGAAGAGTGCAAATACTGAGGACCGACTTTAGGAGGCGCATGGGGGAAGCGAGAAAGCGCAGTGAAACAAACAAAAAGAAAACCTAGTATCAACATACCCAGCGCCCATCTCCCTCGAAAGCGAAGGCCAAAACTCCTGAAGTGATCCAATCATCAGAAGGTCCGATTTCCTCCTCCAGGCATCGAAATCGTCCCACTCCAACCCATGCAACTCATTCAACTCCAAAACATGCTTCTTCCACACCTCAAATCTTTTCATCACCTCCGGACTCCCATCTGATTTGTACTCGAGAGGCCACTCCGCATCTTCGCCCCTCTTCGGTTTCTCAGATATCTCCTTGTTCGCCGGCTGCGTAAGAAATATCAGATTGTAACTCTTCCAATCCTGGAGCGCCTCTGCCTCGTCATAGATGTTAGTTGATTCTTCTTCCGATAATATATCCCAGTGGGAGCAGAAAAGTCAGTACCTTATCGACTCCCAGTCGATACCTTATCTACACCCGGTCGATACTATATTAACAACCAAAAATCTTTTAGAATATTAAAAAATTAAAAAATTCGATATTTCTAAAACTCCTTCTAATTAAATAGATTACCTAAATAAACACCCTCCTAAGCCTATAAACCTAAAAAAAAATTATATATAATTTCCTTACGCTATCTTACCCCTATAAAATCGCTTTGCTTACCTTCCTAGGTAGTAGGAGCGAGTAGGTGTAGATAAGGTATCGATAACCGGTTATAAATAAGGTATCGATAATTATTAATAGGGTATCTATAACTAATTATATAGGGGAAGTTTTCTTTTAAAAAATAATTTTCTTATAAAAGGGTCTATTAGTCTCTAATAGTCGTCTATATATCCCTATAGCGTTCTCTATAAGACCTTTTTTTATTAAGTATAGGATAAGTTTTCTTGATTTCGCTAAGTACTTTTATTAATCCCTTGATTTCGCGAGTACTTTTACTAGTCTAGTAGCTAGGAATAGACTTTTATTATAGTTTTAGGTACGTAGATCCTACTACGTACGTACTTCCGAGTACTACCGAGTACTGCCTATATATTACTGCCCTTCCCCCGCCCTCTCTTTACTCCTACTATCCCTACCTGTGAGTGTACTTAGTCGTTTTGTTTTTTACCCCCTCCTGTCCCTACCTGTAAGTGTACTTAGTCGTTTTTTGTCCCCCCTCCTGTCCCTACCTATAAGTGTACTTAGTCGTTTTGTTTTTACTCCCTCCCGTCCCTACCTACGAGTGTACTTAGTCGTTCCGACTATCCCTACCTGTGAGTGTACTTAGTCGTTGTTTTTGTCCCTACCTATAACCTCTGTATATACTTAATTTAAGTGAGTGATTCGAGCCGTAAAAGTACAGAAATAGGTGTAAAAATAAGTATAGAAATAAGTATAGAAATAAGTATAAAACTACGTAGAAAAAAGTTGTAATTTATTAATGACTTTGGACATTTTAGTAACTATTTATTGACAACCGTTATAGATAAGGTATCGACAATTATCGATAGGGTATCTACAACCGAGCGCATATAAATATATAGATAAGGTATCGACAACCGGTTGTCGACACCTTATGTACGCCCGCTCCCACTGGGTATGGATGTGCTCGAGACCTTGTTTGAGGCGTGCGATGTTGCCGGGGGTGGAGAGGAACGTCCAGATTTTCGTTCCTTGGCCTTCTGGAAAACCGTCCCCTAAAGAATGAGATATCAGTCATAGCATATCTAGAGAGTCCAGGAGGTGAGGCGACGCGATGCTTACACTGGGCGTATTGAGCGATGACGAAACCGCCTTTGTAATAGACGCAGATGACGTTTCGGGTACCCATTGTTACGGTATTAACAATAATTCGGATGGCTGCTGAAAGCAAGACGTTCGTCGTTCTTAAGAAAAGTCAAAATTGATATCGAATTCTCCTCGAGGTTCTGAAAGAAAAAATAGCGCGCGGGAGGAATTGGAGGAATTAATACCCCACGCGTGCTCACGGGATTCGGCATCTTAATTTAATAGCAGCGTTGCAAAAAGAAAAGGTGCAGGAGATGCCTTGATTTTATGACTCACTTTGCATAAGCGAGCTGTAGGCAGTATTGAGACACTAACGCCATTGAGCGACGATCGTTCGCTTTCTTTTTTATGGTGCGGATTATGGTAATCCCACTTTCAAAATGCCATATGCTAACTAGTAAAGAAATACTCGATTATATTACTAATTAGTATTATAAATAACAAAAGTAGAGTTATGTAGTAGTATCTACTTAACTTATCTCGCTATATATTACTTAAGTAGTTTATTTTAACGCTGTTACTAACAAAAGAACGAATTCATTTTGATTTACCTATTTAAAAATAAAGACAATATAGTAAATATATAAATCTTAACCTCTACTTCCCTATAAGAACCCCCTCTAAATATCCCTCTACATTATAATACCCCTTACCTACTTTAAAAAGAATCCAAACACCCTTATATATTCTTCTCATTCCCATTGAATTCCCATCTCCCCCTAGACCCGACACTAACCAAGCTAATCGTAACCACAACCACCTTAACCCAACCAAAATCACTTCACTAATCAAGCCAAGCCCCATAAATACACCACATCAGAGACTCTCATGTTTCATTCCACATCAATTACCCATTAACCCATCCCATTAACCCATCCCAAAAAAACAACGTCTCAAAGGCTAAAAAGAATATATACACAAGAATCGAACCACCACAATAACAAAAGAAACGCGGTAACGCGACAGAAAGTCCGTAAACTGATGTGATGCCATCCCCACCCATCCCAATGCATTTCATAGATTCATAAAACCCTATGTAATCTTATTTATCTCCGGCTGGTAGAGTATGGAGATTTACTGCCTCTGAAAGCTATCATTAACCGTCGCAGCCGTAGCACAAGTCCTCGGAACAGTGAAAGAATGGTTAGGATCTCTCTCCCAAGTAACAGCCCCATCGGAAGCAACGTTAATGTACTTGTAAGTGATAGCCGCTCCAGCAGGAAGCGTGACCTCGCCGACCCAGACGTTGTTGGTATCAGTGTACTCGCGAGCCGAAAGCGTGATGGCACTAGCAGGATCCCAGTTGCCGAGCTGCGCAACACTTCCAACGATCTTGATGGTTTGACCGAACTGAGTGGTGACGGAGGTTCTGAATGTGACGGAAACGGCGGTTGCGATGGTGCAGGGAGGGCGTGTGGTGGTGGGTGGTGGGACACCTCTAATGGGGGTTTGGTTTGCTGGGAAGGGACTGGTTGGTGCGACGGCGTATGGACCGTTGGCGGAAGTGCGAGAACATTGGTTGGGGAGGACAGTGGCAGCAGCGTTGACCCAGGATTCTGGGACTTCACCAGCACGGCGGGCAGCAGCGGTGAGGAAGGCAGCATATGACCAGGTCAAGTCATATGCGGAGAGAGGAAGTCCAGTGTTTCGGGAGAATTGCTCTGCCATTGAGCCATCTGGCTCGGCATACCTCTCAATCACGGCAATGTACCCATCAGCATAGGTTTTGACGGCGTTGATGAGAGTAGTGTATTCGCTGGTAGATGAAGCGTATGTGCCAACGGCAATTGAGGAACTGAGATCTCTAAAAAATGGAAGAGAGACAGAGGTGACAGTGATTGATCCTTCTTGCTGCCATGTATACAAAGCGGCGTAAAGTTGCTCGGCTGCTGCCAGAGTGGTGAGATACCATGGGTTACCACCAAAGTAGACGTCTTCGGAGTATCTTCCAACTGCAACAGCTGTGCCTTGAGGGATACCTGCGTTGATTGCGTAAACAGTTCTGAATGAATCTGTGACGGCCTTGTGGTTGGCCAAGGCGCGGTCGGAACATCTATCATTTATTAGTAAGACTTCCCTGTAATAAGATTTATAGATTACATACGGCTGGAAGGTTAAAGAATCGCACTTGGCTGCTGGATCAAACATGTGAATGGAAGCCAAAATGGTGTTGGCATCTCTTCCGTTTCTGTAGTTTCCTCCGTAGTTGATATTTGAAACCATATAGTTTTGCGAAGGGTTCCAAAGAGTTTGCAAAAAGCAAAGAACCTGTGGTGCTTGAGAATCGCAGTTGGGGCACGATTTGCCGAGTTGGGCAGCAAGTGCACTTCCTTCAATGAGCGATCTGTGTTGCGCAGCAATGGTGAAAAAGCTGGACCCTTGAACTTCTTCCCACAGGTCGAAACCAGTCTCGTTCCTAATCATCCTTCGTCAGCGTCTTAACAAATACGAGCGGAATTTGAGGGTGAAATACCAGTATTGTGTGACGTAACTCAAGTCGTTTTGAATAACAGGCCAAACCAAATCATTGGCGGTAGAGGTATATCCGTTGGCGATTAACCACTTAGAGTAGGCAATAAGAGCAGTGGCCCGAAGCGCAGGACCATCTCTTTGTGGACGACCCCACGAGCCAGTAAAGGCTGATCCATCGGCCAAGTACTTTGGTTCTGCAAGACCTCCGCTTGAAAGACCACCGGAAGGGGTGTTTACAGTTTGAAGTCGGGATTGAGCGGTGATGTAGGCTTCAATCTCATTTTGTAGATCGGCATCATAGTTAACAATGAATGCGTCTACGAGAGCCTTGAACGTCAAGGCTGCATCTCTTGTCCTATCATAGTTGTTAACATTGGCCTCCAAACTCGCAACTAAGAGTAAAATACCATGTAAAAAAGTCTAGTAGAAACCATTAGCACGTAATCCATAAGGGAACAGTAGAAGAAGACATACAATCAGGGCTTGTTTTTCCAGGTCCAGCTATCACAAGTCCACTGCCTGCTCCTGCAACACAAGCACCGGTTCCACCAATGTTACACAGAACACCTGCATATGCAATTGGAGTTTCGATGTCTATGAACGAATCCACCGCTCTCTTCAAGATTTCTGAATCCCGTTCCTTGATTTGTGGAAGCGAGAAGGCAGTTTGCAGGGCAAGACTACCTGCCAGAAGGACAGAGGAGAGTGAGTACATGATGGGGTGTACTACAGTGGTGAGATTGAGAAGAGAGAAAGGAGGGATGAGCGAGGAAAGGTAAGGAACGACGTCCATCTTGACTTTATATCAAACTACCGACCGTATGTTGGAATTGCCCTACGGAACCCCGCTATGTTCGCTGGCGCATAGCCTACTCTGCCAATACAGAGTCCCGCCGGTTTGGCCGTCGTTCTTCTGTAAGAGGGAATACAAGATTGTCAAGGTTTTCTAGAGTGAGCTTGTTTGCAGGAGCCGCGGAGCGATGTCTCTTTAGCTGAATGAGGAAGGAGCGCCGCAACCACAACAGCCAAGATTTAAACGAGTTATTAGACGCCTCCCCAGCTCCCGAGCTGCCGCTGCTGGAGGTGGTCTTCTCGCTGTGAGTCCTCGCTGTCAGTTGAATGCTGGGCTTGTGAATGTCTGGGCTTCCCCGCTGTCGCTTGTGATGGAGGGGACCGGTCACGTCAAAATAGGAAATCACCACCGATGCAATGTTTCCGGCATGCGCAATGCAACGGAGAATTCTGATGAAAGTGGAATCTTCCATAAAGTGACCTCTCATAACGTAAGCGGTGTATTGACTTCCTTCCTCTGATACGAGCACGTTCATTGGTGCTTTTCCATGAGAAGCCTCGGTCAATTTGCTGCAGCTATGCAACTCTTAACCTAAACCCCACAGTCTATGGAGCTACCCCGCGGGGTACGCACCACTCGCAGCAAGAAATCGGGCCGTTCCTGAAAATCCCCAGTTCTCTAGAATAATACGAGGGACATTAAGCTTGAATTTGGATGCAAAGAAATGTGTATATTTAGGCCAAGAAAGCTATACGTATACACACCAAGCTGGACATGCTGATGAGACCTCTGCGGCGGAACAACTTGCGCTGTATTCGCGAGTTCGGATTCAGTGCCTCATATTCACACGCTTATAAATGTCAAATGATTTTATGCAGAACTTCGTGCTTTGGAATGACAAGGTCACAGGAGGCACATGGTGGCGTCACGGGGCCAGAGAAGTGACTTCCGCAAGAGGCTCAACGAGAGAACGTCTGTGAAGCAAAGCAAGGCATTCCTGCTCATTGAATCCTAGATTGGGATACCGGTAATCTTACATTCAAGATACTCCTACGTGAACATGCGGAATATATAATGCATTTTGGGAATAGAGTTTGATATCACGCAACAAAGTTGGGCCCTGGCTAGACAAGCTCCAACATAATAATGGAGATTCGACGCCTAGGGCTGCCTCCGGGGCAAGCGTATGCGACCATCTGCCAAAGCTCAATTCCCATGTATTGTATTCACATTTCAATGGCCGAGATTGATCGCTTCGAGAGTGTGAACACGGAGCTTGAGGCTATATATGTAGACCACAGCCGGAGCGCTGCGAGAACCGTTGCATGAATTGGGCCACTGCTGGAGTGAACCCATCCAGCAAATGCATCCCCATATATGCCCTCCTCCTCGATGAAGCAATCGTCGTCCGCAAAAGGGCCGCACCCTTTATCCGTCATCGTTGTTCTGGTCGAGAGTCGAATAGTACCGGCAGCCTCCGAAGAAAAAAGGTCCCCCAATGCGTCATGGTATGTAGGTAAGTCATGGTTTTCCCCTGCATCACTGACCAACGGCCTCGGCGAAGGGGTTTAGGAATATGACACCTTCAGTACACTCGTCCACCGAGCTCAGCTTTTGACGGCGAATTCAGGCTTCGTGAGGACCGATCACTCTGAGACTTGTCGATCGGAAATTGACACCATAAACTGCCTGTGAAGGCTGGCGGCTCCATAGGACGATCGAACTGCCGCAGTATGCGACCTCACAACCCAGGGGCTGGAGGGACACTGGGCACAAATCTGTGTTGTAAGAAGAAAAGAGAAGGGAAGAGGAATCGCGAACGCGAAGAAAATATAGAAATTTTAGCGGGGCCGTGCTGAGTCAGCCGTTAGCGCCTAGTCACGTGTGGGCGCTGGCGACCCCAACCTCCCCCAACCTAAGTTCGCCAATCTGGACTCTGGAGGCCGGGACTGTCTACCTATCTACCTGACCCAACTCAACTCTTCGCCCGTCGCATTACACAGTTACACCCCCGACAACCCTCATCATGGCAGACGCAATCTCCATCGAAGAAACCAATCGGATTCGAGTGTCTTTGGGCATGAAACCACTGCCTGTTCCTGGCGCAACTGGTCCAGTGTTCAAAGAATCCGCGCCAGAGCCGGTAGAAGATTTGGGCAGCACTCTCGAAAGCCGGCAAGCCGAGGGTTACGACAACTATCGCAAACTGCAAGAAGCAGAAGAGGCCAAGAAGAAGCGCGATGCAAAGGCTGCCGCGATCAAGAAGGCTCGGGATGCGGCGAAACGATTTTCGAAACTAGAAGGCAAAGGCCTAGGAGAGGCAGATGAGGGCGAGCTCGATGCCAAAAGTTGGCTGTTGAAGCAGAAGAAACGTCAAAAGGAAATTGACAAAGCCCGAAAGCGAGAACAAGAACTGGCAGATGCCGAAGCTGCTGCGGAGTACACAGCCAAAGATCTTGCAGGCGTCAAGGTTGGCCACGAGTTCGACACATTCGAAGAGGGTGAAGAGCAGGTTCTGACGCTCAAGGACACCACCATTGATGAGAATGAAGAGGAAGGCGACGAGCTGGAGAACTTGGATCTTCGCGAGAGGGAGAAGCTTCACGACAAGCTGGAACTCAAGAAGAAGAAGCCAGTCTACAATCCAAACGATATTGACGACGAGACGGGCGAAAAGAAGATATTGGCTCATTACGATGAAGAAATCGATGGTAAGAAGGGCAAGAGATTTACCCTGGATGGCCAAGGGAGCACCAAAGAAACTCTGGCCGAGCTGGGTTCTGTCCAAAAGATGAAACCCAAAGCCATTAGTCTAGATATTCTGAGTAAGTACACCACAGAAATACTCCAAACCTTACCACTCGCTAACTCTGATTCCAGTGGATGAACCAAAGTCCGATTATCATGACATATCAGAGGTCAAGATTAAAAAGCCCAAGAAAAAGAAGGCCAAGTCTACTCGCCAGAAAGCCGTGGACGAAGACGATATATTTCCTGTGGTTGAGGCTGTGAATGCATCAGTCGATGACGAGAATAGCATGGATGTGGACAAGCCGGTTGTCAAGAAGAGAACTTTTGAGGATGTATCTTTTGTTGATGATGATGACTTACAGGCTTCTTTAGCTGCACAACGACGGAGTGCTCTTAAGAAACGAAAAACGATCAAACCCGAGGATCTTGCACAACAAATACGAGAGGAGGCTTCCGCCACACCCGCTGCTGAAGCTGAACCCGAGGGTGGGTTGGTCATTGACGAAACATCCGAGTTTGTTGCGAACCTCCAAAAACCAGTCGCAGCTGAGCCAAAGAAAAGCTCCACGTCAAGAAGGCCAGAGGGAGTTACTGCAATGGGAGATGATTCTGATGATGACGGTGACGTTACTATGGGCCAATCATATGCCAACCTCGAAGATGATGAAGACCGTGCTGCACGTTTGCTTAGGGAAGAGTTGGATGTTGATGACATTACAGAAACTGGCTTGGATCGCGAGGCCACTCTGGACAAAGGTCTCGGCTCAACACTCAAACTTCTCAGAGAGCGTGGCATTATTAAGACTGAAGACTCTGGAGATCTCAACGAAATCTTCAGACGAAAGCAATTGTTTCTGGCCGAGAAGCAACGACGTGAAGCAGAAGCCGAAAAGAAAGCTAGATCTCAGAGAGAACGAGACCGTACAACGGGTCGTTTGGATCGCATGTCTGCTCGGGAAAAGGAGGAGTACGCAAGATCCCAAAACAATTTCCGTGACCAACAGGAGTCTCGCCAACTTGCGGAGCATTTCAACAAAGAATACAAGCCAAACGTCGAACTCAAATACATTGATGATTTTGGCCGCAGCATGAACCAAAAGGAAGCTTTCAAACATCTATCACATCAATTCCATGGAAAGGGAAGCGGCAAACAAAAGACCGAGAAGATGCTGAAGAAGATAGAGGACGAAAATCGACGAGAAGCCCAGAGCTCACTCGATGGATCGATGGGTGGTATGAGCGGTGCTACGGCTCAGCAACTCAAGAAGCAGAGGCAAGCGGGTGTCAGATTGGCGTGATGGGGATACGTCATTGGAATCCGCAGAAAAGGTGCAACCTCCTCACTGTATTATAATTTATTCAATGCTGACAAAATACTAAAAAGTGAAGATTTGTTGACCTGTCAACATTCTGCATATTGCTATGTAAGTTGTGATGGTGTTTAGACTAACCAACGTTGTGCCCCAGGATTTCTCGACATCACTATCTTGTTCCTCCAGTTTACGCCATGCTTTTCAGGTGTGGCCATCCCTCATCAGCCTTTCTCTTCAGGTTCAGCACCGTTGCAGGTACATCGTCGGAAGGTCGCACCTTCCCTCCTGCACTAGATCTCCTTGACGAGCGTTGGGGCACAGGAAGGAAGGCACGACCGATGTGGGCTTGCTCGGCCTCGTCATTACCCCCATCCCCCCCTCCTCATTTTTCTTTTAAAACATCATACCTCCTTCGCTCTTCTTCCAGTTTCCTTATATAACTTAATGCCTTTGAATCAGTGTTGGTTAGAGTGAGTTCACTTGCATACAAGAAAGACGGGTATCTCCTTCTGCCCACACTTTCCTTAAACTCCCTTACCTCAGTAGGCTTAGTCAGTAGGTAATTATATCACCAGTGGGTGACAGAATTCGTGGGACAGCACAACTTCTAAATTACGTAATCAAGAACACTAAAAATTACTACTATTCAAACTTTTATTACCACTTCGCAGTCTTTATAGGCTTCCCACTCGTTTTAACTAGTAGTTTACATCGCCGAGGCATATCCGCTATACGGGCACGAACTTCCTCCATTGTAATCTTACTCCATTCGTCCTGAACCACCTCCTTAAGCTCCGCAATTGTATTCCATACTCTCCGACGTTTTCTTTGCTTAAGGATATTCCAAAGAGCCTCTATAGGGTTGAGATCTGGGGACTGGGGAGGGTGGACAAGGTTCGTGATCCAATTAGTCCTTTTGAGTACTGATGCAAGGCTATCTGGGTTCTGTATACCATGAGAATTGTCCCCATCTTCCTGAAGAAGCCAACTACTGTTTATACATTCCTCTGTAATCCTTAGGTGTTGAATTGCGTCAATATAAAAAGGAAGAAGGCGTTCTACGTAATAGAGGCTGGTCATGGAGTTCCCTTTTGGCTTAACCTCTTTATCGTGTGCCTCGCATTCAGCCTCCCACTTTAGTATAAACTCTGCATATTCCTCGTCTGTACAGTACTTGGTTTTGCGAGGCTTCCTAGGCTTCCTAGCTTTAATAACTTCATCCTCTTCGTCGTGGTAGAACTGGAGTTTCTCGCATTTGGCATGCCAATTACACCACCCTGCGATGTGTAGCCGTACGCCCCGTTTCTCCCCCCTTTCCTGTATATATTCGGGCTTATAACGCTTCCTTTGCTCACGGAGGTAGAAGTCTTGAAAGTTAGAGGTAGGATCAATATGTGCCTCGTCTGTCCAGAGAACCCTACGCCAATGGTTCTCAACTGCCTTGTACTGCCACTTCCTCCCGTATTCTGTCCGTTTCTGCCGGTTTGTATTCGAGGTTTTCTTCTTTACGTACGCAGCCTTATAGCGACGGGCCTTGTTTGTATGCCTGAGCAAAGCGCGCTGTAGAGTGCGGGCGGAACCCTTGATCTTGTGGTATTTCATTTGAGCTTCGTAGTGCTGGTTTTGGACGGGGTTTTTGGCTGGGTTGACAAGGAGTAAACAACTCTCTTTTGAGATAAGACGACGCCTCCCAAGTATATTTGACCTCTTCCGCGTCCGCCGGTATGCTGCAGACCCTATTTGAGTACGCTCTTTGAGCCATCGTGATGCCGTAGACCTGGTTACTCCCAAATCTGCCCCAATAGCCTTATGTGTTTCTGCGCCGTGCCGGGCGTCCCAGGCCTCGTAAAACCGGGTCTTTTTGGTAGTAGTAGCTTCGCGGTGGTGTATTTGACGATCTGGCGTGTCCTCTCTACTGTGAGTAGGCGTGTTAGTGTCCATTTGGACGGTTTAAAGAGTATGTTTTATTAAGGTATGATATCTAAGCATTTTTGGTGTTCTTGATTACGTAATTTAGAAGTTGTGCTGTCCCACGAATTCTGTCACCCACTGGTGTATGTTTCATTTAGGTAATAATTACCTTACTTACTAATAGACTTTAGGTTCAAACCTTAGTCTGTTCTCGCTTATTCTAGAACGTTCGATCACGTGAACCGAAATATTCTAGTATCCCTTTCTATTTATAAGCACTTCTATTCTATTTATAATCTATAGAACCTCCTAGAATCTATCTAAGGAGTATATATAGACCTTTACTGTCCTTATAGTTAGAAAATTCAAGTCATTTTCACAAGTCAAAATCTTACTCTTTTGATTCTAGAGTAACTAGCGACAAGCTCGACTAGTCTCGTCTCTTAAAAGTAGAGATAGCCTAATAGAGTTTGATGTAAAAACAAGTCTGGTTAACAAGGTTTAGTTCTATAGGTCATGTGCGGTCGAAACAAGAACGGCCTGTTCGGCTCAAATTAGTGAATTGGATTATTCGGTAGCGTACCCTGGGATTCAAAAATCTCACTAAAACCTGATTTGTATAAGTTGGAGTCTTATTTTAGATAATTCTTATTATATATCGTTTGGATGGAATTTCCTAGTTTTTATTCCACCACTAATTCTATTACGTGTATGACTAAAGAAAGGATTTCGTAATTTATATATAAAAGAGTATAACTTATGCTTATATATATAAATTAGTAGATAAAGCAGTACTGTTTAGTATTTACGCTGGGTAGGATAAGTAAGTTGGGAATACGGATTCTGAATATAATAAAAAAGCCGTTTTTACCTTTTGTATAGGACATTTCAAAATAATTTAGATTACGATATTCGGAGTAGTATTTGCTTTGAACTCGATTTACGAGCCGAACGGTTTTAACACTCAATACGAATCAGGACTCGTATCGAGTACAAACCTTCAATTTGTATGGTGGAGTTTGGATTCAGATTCCGGGTTCTTTTGAACCGAACAGGCCGAAAACTTTCGAACAAGAGATTTCACAAAGCTTCTAGAAATATGCTCGGGAAGTCTCTATAGACCGTCGCGTATTAATTAAAAAGCTCAGGGTGAACTCGTGGTTCAATATAAGGTTTCGGGGAAATAATCTACTGGATTTGTTTGTTTTGGCTTATTAGGATATACCGGGATAGCTTGAACCTAATTATATGTCTAGTACTATAGCACTTTTGAGTTACCTAGTATTTTAATTAATGTTTGCCGAAAATGTGCATGCTGGTTCACCTCCTTTAAATTATCGCTCTAATGTGAAAGGCCTCTAAAGCCCGAATCTAAGATAGAACACAATAAAAGTTCCAGATACATACCCACATGGTCTACAATACACTCTGATGCATTTCACTGGGGAGTTTTGATTCTATTTATGGATTCATGGAAGAAATTCCTGAGTGATATTTTGCTTTATTATTCCCTATCTCCTACATCATTATCGGCATTATCGCAACTGAATTATTTTAAAAATCTCAAATCCCATGTTCCGCCGGGAACCATCAAAGCTTTTCCATCAACAAGGTCGATGGACTGGTTGCCAGATACCAATGTTCCCTCAACACCCTTTAAGATAACAGTACCAACAGTATCCTCTGGTGTAGTGAACGTCGCAGCGGTAATGGTTTTCCCATCTGCGGAATACTTACTTGAAAATGTTCCAAGCGGAGTTTGATATCCTGAATCTACTTCTGTCAAATCACCCGCCAATGGTCTGAAAGACCATGTCTTGCCAATAGACGATTCCATATGGATACCTCCAATATAGAAGCTCATCAAGTATGTAGGACCAGTACTCCAACCGTGCGCATGTGATACGCGGGAATCGATCCTATATGGTTGGTAGTGCAATGATCCATCAGCCGAGAATCCCTCGATGAATGTTGAATTTGTCATACGTGGGTCGTTTATCATGAATCCCCATTGTCTGCGGATTAACTCGAGCGCATCCAAAGTCTCATCACCGAGGAGGTGGGCTTCGAGTTCGAAACTACCGATGAAAGGTGAGATGGTCGCTGGAGATCCGCCTGCTTCTGGTGCAGGTGCTCCGAGGGTTCCCCAGCGTTCCGTGAGGGCGCGGGTGACATTTGAGGATTGTGCGGTGGAGGTTGTAATGTTTGCCTTGACGGCCCAGGCGTTTCCGTCTTGAGGAGACAAAGTGGTGGTTTCATTGTCGATGTAGAGGTTTGTGTCGGGATTCCAGAGGAGCTCGTTGACTACTGTTTTGATCTTTGCGGCGATGGGGGTGTATTCGTCAACTTTGGTTGTGTCGTTGAGGAGTTTGGCGAGCGTGATTCCTTTGTTGAGGGTGTAGTATAGGATGGAGTTCGCTTCTACGTTCTGTTGAGGGCTCAGTCAGTATGATGTTTGGGAACTGTGCAGTAGAAAGATGAAGGGGTATATTTACATGTCCCCCCATTCCGACTCGGAGCCAGTCGGCTGATGACGTGACGTTCATCAAACCAGTGTCGTCAATATAGCTTAGAGACCATTCCATCCCTTTAGTAAAGTTTCCCCAGTTACCCTTGAGATATTCCAAATCACCGAAGTACTCATAGTAATACGAGATACCGATCAAAGTGTACAAGTGATAAGTGAAACTGACAATGCCTCGCTCATTAAAGGGATATCCGGCCCATGGCAACATTCCATTGTCACTCTGAAGCGCAAGGAGTGAAGTGAGTCCGTTTCTGGGGGATTCCCGATCGTTTGTGCTGACGAATATACTTGGGAGGCCAATAGCCATATCTCCGGGCCAAACTTGACGATCTCGCTTTGCTCCATCAGTTGTAGTAGTTCGGCCTTCGGTGATAGTATCATTGCTCCACCATGCCTGTGTATCTGGTGTTGTATCATTGGGTGTATTCGGTCTTCCAAGAGCATTTCCCCATTTTGGATCAATGGTACAAAGCTGGTTTGTGTAAGCACCTAGTACAAATCAGATAAATATCCTCAGACCAATTGTCACAGGGAAATAGCACTTACCAGCATACCAAATGCGATTTAAAAGCTCATCATTTGTATGGAACCATCCAGCATACTCGCGAAGTTCTTGAACAGGTGCGGCAGTGTACCAAACAGAAACTTGTGAAACTCTAATGGTACCCGGGCTATTTGAAACCACACTCAGGTATCGGAATGAACCTCGATCATGAAGTCTCTCTACAGTATAATGACCTGGCTCTCCAGCGGGCAAAAAGATCACCTCGTCAGGGCCATCATCACCAGTTGCATCACTGCGATCTCCAGCAATCCACAGATTTGATTCCGTATATGTCAATCCGAGAACCGCACTTGGATCTGTAGAGGATTCAACTGTAATTGAAACTACTCCACCTATGTTCTTGAGAAAGTCGAAAGTGATTGCAGAAACTCCATTGAATATTGCATTACCTCTGGGACCACCAAGCAAAGTTTCCGGATTGCTGATCGAGCCGTTGACGTTGTAAACTTTCTCTGGGTACAGGGTTCGCGTGGATGGGGCGAGAATGTATTCGCTGTATGGAGCTTCAGAAAGTACAGAACCAACGGAAGTCAAAAGACAGAAAAGACTCAAAAGAGGAGTCATGATGGGCGAGGGATTCTCAGTGTGTTGGTGGTAGAAATCAGACTTCAAATGTGAATGAGAAGTAATGATTTTATACCATCGGATGAACAACTCGGAGAAAACACTTTCGTATTTAAAAAGTAAACAAGCTACCCCAGAATTTCCCAGATTCACCAACCTTTCCCAACCCCGCACCCGTCGTAGGGCCTGCCAAACCTTAAATACCAAGCAAAAAGGCGAAATCCTTGTACAAAAACAAAAAAGAAACCCAACAAGTGGGTATCATCTACCGGTAGCACAGTACCGCCGCAATTCTAAGATGTTATGCAATACGCCTCTGCCATCCGCTGAAAAAACCCCGATATTTTCGGGCGAACTCACAGCGATGAGCCCTTCAAAAAGAAGAGAAAGGACCGAATGCTAAGTCCTTTACTCATGCTTGCATCGCGGGCGAAGTGGAGAAACTCAGCATGAAAAGCAGGGAAAGAAGCGAATACGAGTATTGTAGACAGGGACTTATGTATACCCCATCTTTTACTGGGGAGGCGGGGAAGCCAATAAGCTAACTCACTACTCAAGCTTAACCCTGAGGGTTCGGTTCCACGTGATCTGGGGTGCGTACTTCCAGGTTGTAAGCTGTAAGAAGCGGGGAGAAGCGCGGGGAAATTGAGGGGAAATTCTGAAAGGACAATAATGCGTTACATTTCAGGTGACTTGGTGAAGAGACCGGCAGGGCCGGCAAGTAATACATTGTTTCTCGGTAATGGGTCGAGAAGGTGGGACCATGTTTATTTGAGGCGTGTTTGTCGTGTGCTTGGCGAATGGCTTCCGACAAACTTTCGCGTACTCTTCTCATTATTGTACGGTACTTTGCTGCCTGGTTCTCATCGAAAGCAGATATTATTGGCAGTTGTTCGTTGAGAATTTGTTATTGTATTCTCGTAAAAAAGATTAGCGAGAACTTCGCTTTCAGTATTATTGGCCTTCTGCATCTTATTATTCGTGAATCCCCCTCGTCTAGTTGTCATCCTCAAATATAGTATTGGTCAAGCTTATTTAGTCATCATTTTTAAATCATGAATCTAGTGAATTTAGGTGCAATAAGAATTGCAATTGACCACATGGTAGTCCAGCAGGCTGAATCAGTGTTGTGATTGGAACATGAAGGGATTGTGAATCCCCCTGGCATTTGTATGACGTATCAAAGCATGGGAGTTCCACTGGCAGAAGCGACAAGAAACATTCACTGCTAGCCTATCGGGGGCTAGTATAAATGGAAAACGAATTTAGCGGCTCCTCTCTACGATCTTCGCTTCTAATCGCCAGATTTGGTACTTTCTCCGTCCCAATGACCCCTCCGGTGGTACTGGCACCTGAAATGGTAATTCATCCACGTGGAAACACTTCGTCAAATCACATACATAGGAAACTTCCTATAGACCTTATTCGAGCAGGCCAAACAGTGACGCTTCACCGCGAATCCTATGAAGGAGCCCATCTCGCGAAACAAGTCCGAAATCTCTGCACGTTACGACCTCCAAACCTAACCCCACTTCAAAGACAAGCCCTCGAAGCATATCGTTCATCTACAGATTACAAGATTGACAGTTTCTCCAACGTTGATAACCACACTGTGGAGAAACTCCGGCCGTTAGCACTTTATGCTCACCTATTTGATGCACTCTTCTTCGCAAACTCACTCTTGCACAGCGGTCGACTTTCTGTCCATATATCTGATAGATCTCCTGATACAGCTGGTTTATATGGGTTCTTACATGATCATCCAACGAAACCGGGGGAAAAGCAGATTATACTGTATTTGGACGATCAGTCTCAGGACACGCCGTTACAGCGCATGAACCGTATGCTCGGTACATTAGCTCACGAGATGACACATGCTTTGATCTTGATGTATTGTTGTGTAGAGTGTCAAAAGGACATGAGTTTCGAAGTGATGGGGCCAAAGTGGCATGGGATAGTGTGGCTTGATATTGCCAGTCAGGTTCAGGCTGCAATCAGAAGTAGACGGATGTTGGGACTTCCCGATGTCGAGTTGGGTGTTGCGAAAGAGGTTGCTAGCGAATCGCATAAAGCTAATCTCCCTGTTCCTCGCGATAGGGATCTACAAGCTTGGGGTGTTAGTAGAACTGAAGTAAAGAGGAGGTATCAGGAATACGTGGCTGCTAAACCAAAAAAGGTTGGGGTCCGTGGGAGAGCAACGAAGGCAATGGAGTGTGTGGACAGGGGTTCCACTTATTGTGTTACGATCTTTAAGCCATGGACTTGAGCATCATATTATAAACATACATAGAAATAGAACACAGCCTCTGGCTTTTACACTATTTACAACAGCAAAAGATGCATGTCATGGATTCATGATTCGAACCTGATGAATTTCAAATGTCATGAAATCTTATCCACAATTTAACTGAACTGATTCAAAAATCTCCAAACCTCCGCTGGGGTCCAAGTCTTGGTACTATCATTTGGTCCTCCATCAACAGGTATTTGCTCATGTCCTCCGTCAAATGCAATCCATCTCACAGGAAAGCCACTCTTACATCCCTCGTAATCAGTTATAATATGAGTTAAACTTCCAGGTGCTGGTTCTGGCGCAGTCGTATTCCGGCAACCATTCTTCTTCACAAAATCATCACGAAGTGCCTTTCCCGTCTCAATAGGTAAGACAGGATCGCTAATACCATGTATCCCCAAATAAGGAACTGGAGTGGTGCCGTTCTCACAGCCACTCAACAGCGCCCCTGAGTATGCAGCAACAGCTGCGAATTGGTCTCCTCGTGCGCAAGATAAGGCATAGGTCATTCCTCCTCCATATGAGTATCCCGTAGAGAAACGCTTGGACTCGTCGACACAAAGACCATCGCCGACAGTTGCGATCATCTGGTCAACGAATTTGATATCTTCACCACCAACATTCTTCCAGCCTGCACCTAGAGGATCGTTGACGAGACCTTGGGGGGCAATAAAGATAGCTGATTCTTCAGCTTTGTCTTGGAGACCAAAGTACGCCCATCTTTCTGTGGTAGTTTCGCTGATGTTTGTTCTCCAGAAACCCGTTGCGACTTCAGTCATGCTTGAAGTGTACCCATGGAAAGCGAAGATCAACTTATATGGCTTGTTGCTATCGTATCCGAGTGGAATGCGTAAGGTATATTGTCTGGTTTTGTTGTCGACCGTCATTGTTTGTACCCCAGACGTCAATAATGGGTCCTTTCCACAGCCAGCTGAAGGCTTTGAGATAGCAGTGGATCGGGGAATATTGTCAACAGTTGCTTTATGATCATGTACGTCAGCTTTCTCTTCTCCCAAAATATTATGATAGTCAACCTACGATGAAGACTTAGAGCGTTCGCCCCCGTGAGAAGGACTCCCACAATAGCAGTAAAAGAAACCATGTTGATACTGCGCGTTTCGACTCCCAAAAAGAAAAAACGGAAAACGAAGGAGGGATGCTCCTAAACACGACATTATGGAAAGGTGCCTAGTATTTATTTCACAAAAATTTCCCTCTTGTTACCACAGAAATCAAGGCGACCTGCATACATCATTGCCTTGGGCCGTAAATTTGAGCGGCTTCCGAACCCCTTCCCCATATAAAATCTCGGTGTATGGTTGCGGGGTCTCACCCACCTTCCATTTGCGGGGTGACATGTAAGATTCTTCCCGACAGCTTGTTACCGGTTCTTGGTTCTCATATATAGAAAACCGGATCTCTCTGATTCTCCCAAGACGTGTTACCGGTATTCGCTCCACCGTTCAATAATTCAAGTGCTGTATACGGTGTCTCCGCTGACCTACCAGAAGCGCAATAGTTACAACTCAACGCCCATTTTGCTTTGCCTGTGTCAGATTTGAACGAGTTTTTGAAAGGCAAAAAGAGCAAGAAGCTGAGCAAGAGGGATATGAGAAATGTAAAATATTATTCTGGCGATTAAGCTGTTCGTTTAGGCTTTTTGTTTAACGCCAAGGATCCACCCTCCGCGTGACTCGCCGACTCCTCAAGAGCAATCTCCCCAGACCCCTCATCAAACTGTACTGCGTGAGTACTCGAGTAAGTAGAAAATTTATCTCTGACGTAAGACGAAAACTTCCATCCATTTCCAACAAATTGGTTCCAACAATTGGAAAAACAGAAGTAGCAAGATCCCCACTCTTTCAACAAATTCCAAGCAAAATGTGTGAGCCAACGCCAGAGAGTTCTCCACTTGTGCTTTGACACCTTCCGTGAATGAGTGTGCCCAGATAAGATGCGTTACCAAAGGATAAAGCCAAGCGAGCCTTTTAATTAGGCTTGTCTTGACCTTGACACCAGGAATCGCGTTAAGGAAAAGTGTTTCCGAAGACTGAGGGCATTTGTATGTAGATTTGGAGATTGATTTAGCGATTTGTTGCGATTAATTTCGCGATTACAGTAGTAGAGTTAATCGTGGAATCTACGGAGTATTTTGTAGAGAAAAAACTCGCTACAAGGATATGGTCGGGCCCAAAGAGAGGATATGCTTATACAGTGGCGGATCCTTGTAGCGAGTTTTTTCTGTAGCATTTTTCAACTAAAATAATTCAGGATTCATTCTTTAAAGCACAGATCGTGCTCCCGGGCTAGCTGTTCACTATGTTATTATTGACTCCAACAATACTTATGGTTGCAAAACGCGTATATATTGAGCCTTCTTTTGAGCTGCACCTGGACTATAAGGACAATTTGTATACGAATATACTATGCACCCTATTATCAATAATTATAAAGACCTTTTGCACTAGAAATGAGCCTCGGACACCCATACTCTTTATTAGTTAAGTAGATATACCGTATTGTGTAATGGCGCCCGGTAAATCGACCCCCGGGGGTTTGGTATTTCGACTTGCCCCCCCCTGGCCTAATTGGTGGTCCGAGCTTTAGGCACGGCATTCGCGATAACTCTACTGTCACGAATCACGTAAGCATGTGACAAGTGAAGACCAGGCGGCGTCCTGACAGGTCGAGCACTATCATATCTCTTATAGCAAATAGGGATGCTTAGACTAGCTAAGCGATCCAGGGATTTCATTACATTGTAATCACGTGACCAATTGCATCGCCAGTATCGACAGGCGATGCTGGCGATATGTCGACAGCATCGACAGGCGATGTAGGCGACGGCGGAACACGAAGGTTCTATATAAGACTGGCACGTCTGCCATTAGATAGGAGCTTCGTGCTCAACTTAGTTATCAATCTTATCATATTAGTTTGACATCTTTGATACAAGTAACGAGTTCACTTCCAAGTGAACAACCCGATAGTCTTCTTCTTATCATAGCATACCAACCAGCGAACACCCAGCCAAGTTTAGTTAGCCAGTTTGAGTATTCGTTACATCTACGTTTCTCTTAACACCACGCCTCTAAAAGCACGTTGACCCCCTGTTATCTATTTATAAATCTATCTATAACTATTAAAGGAGTATTTTTTTAAAAAAAATTAACTTAATAAGTATATTTTTAGGTAAGTAATTAAGTCTTATAGAAAGTCCGTCCGTAGCGATATTCGCCGCAATATTACGATATTTTTTTATTATAAAGGGCCCTATCTACAAGTATTAGAAACAACAAATAATTAGAAATAAAATCAATTAAATTAAATTTTATAACTAATCGTACAAAAAACCTCCTATCGAAAGTTATAAGAGTCTAGGACACTTATTCGCTCTTATAGAGCCTTTCGCTAATTCAATAACCCCCCTTGAAAAGCCTGCACCCCAGTGGGACATTCCACGATGACCCGATTACAATACCATGAGAAAAGGTCCGCCGCCTTCCAATGCAATCCCTCAGCACAAAGGTATTTCTTTTTGGTAACGTAAATACTCCAAAAGGCAAGAAGCAGTAGGCCTATTGTCCACACCACCACGCAATCCGGAAGCTGAACCTGGAACTTGAAAGTATGTCTCTAGCCTCCTTTCATGCAGTCAGGTAGAACACATTTTTTCCTGGTTTCCTGACCATAATTGTGCCTCAGATATCCCGAGTAACACGTTGGTATTCGACGCGTGTTATCTCAAACAGTCTGGCAAGCTTTAAAAGTTTAGTCCGAATTGAGTCGGGTGTATGTTTATCAGCGCAGGCCTTTAGAAAGTTGCGAATTCCTGTCTTCATGCAAGTTATCTCGAGATCCATAAGGAAGTTCAGACAAAGACGTTGATTGATACTTCTTTCTGGAGCGCCAGATGATTCTCGAGAAGTGTAAGGGGTTAGTACGACTGAGGTGCTACTATGCATAAGGTCTGACATCGCACTCATCTCCCTCCAGATCCAGCTTTTCGTTGATCAAACGAACACAACTAATGGAAGGTAGCTTGTCACGTATGGTCTTCATACAATTTTTAGTCGAATCGTAACCTGGAACTGAAACTGGGCTTAGGAACACGCTCCAAGCAGGTGGCTCAAATTGGGCGTAATCAAGTTGGAATCTGCGGTCTGGTTTGATAGCAATATGCTGAAGCTTTTGGAGGGAATTTGTATCGATCTCCGAAATAAAAGCACGGGCTACCTCCAAACGTGAACCGACGATCTGAACATAGGTCAGTATATGGCAGGGACCCATGAGATGATGTGCTGATGACCAGAAAACCCGTGGTGAGTGACTACATGTGCGTTGCTCAAATAATCGGCGTGCGAGCAAGAACAATGAGGAAGAGCAAGCTTACCAGAATGTCTTTGTCGAAGTCGAAATATACCTTTCCCGGGTGACATCCATGGGCAAAAGATAATTTCCATCGTCTTAGCGCACATTTGCGAGAGCCGTGAGTGGTATGAAGAAATGGGGGAGTTGCGCAAGATGATGTGAATCGAGGTGTCCAAATAGCACCCCCTTCATTTTCACGCTCTTTCTCAAAGGCAGCGGTGGGATCGGTGAACGCAAGAAATGCCTCTTTATAGGTTGGCCACTGTTGTTGTTTATCGCCTGGAACCTCGATCGCAACGCCTTCAATGTTTTGATAGAATCCTCCGTGAAACTCTACTACCCGCTCTCCAATCTCACCCATTGCATGATGCCAGACTTCCTGTTGGAGTTCAGGGGGAAGCTTCTTGAACAAGTGGAATACCGGTTCGGCGGTTTCGTTGAGAGAAGCCATGGTGTCGAGCGTTGCTGCTGGCGGCAAGTGTGACGACGTGGAGTATGTGTGAATATCACTGCAATGCGTTTAAGATGCGTATAAAATTGACTGAGGTACGATTTGCACAGGAAATTTCGACTTTCAAGGAGGCGGAGACGTTGAGAGCGTGGATGGGTCGAGCTTGAAGTTGACGCAGTTGAAAATTAAAAGTGGGGGGGCTGGTAATCGAGGGGTGCAACTCCTGGTTCACCTGCAGCCCTCGCAGCCTTCCGTTGAATTAGCATTGTTTAAATTGGAAAAGGGTATGCTGGCAACTAAGCGGGGAGCAACTACCAATTCACTTGCAACCCAAGAATGCCGAACTCACAGCATTCCGTCACCGTGAGTAGGTATCAAATATGTTCGATCGACTACAAGTATCAGAATATTTCAATTGCCAAGTACTTTGAAAGAGCTCTGCAGAGATTCTCGGCACATCAGATATAACGTGAATCAGAAAGCGTCATCCAAATTCCAGCTTTTCATCCCAGGGTAACTCCAGCATCAATAATAGCGTTAGTTCCGGTCTGCGTAGATGAGTTTGCAAAACAGACAATCTGACTTGCACAATCCTATCATAATATAAGCGAACATTTCGTACAGTAACAGCCAGAGAAAAACAGAATTCTTACCTCAACAGTCGCTACCTTCTTTAGAACAGACTTGTTGATCGCCTTATCAATCTTTTCTTTTGGGAATTTTTGACCCCATTCCTGTAAACAATCAGCCTAGGATGGAAAAATGGTAAGTCGCTTACGGTGAGCAAAAGTCCAGGCGAGATGGAGTTGACACGAATGTGGGGTCCTGAGATAGTAGCTAATGTTTTCATCAAATGAATTTGAGCTGCTTTGGTCACAGAATATGCCTAGATCTTATTAGCATCTCATTCCTCAACGAATAAACACAAGGAAAATGGACGGCTCACAATCGAACTCCCGCTTGGCTTAGTCCCGGCAACAGATGCCACGCTGGTGAAAGAGCCTTCGGACTTCTCCAGATATGGTTTGGCAGTATGGAAGAGAAAAAGATGGGATTTGACATTATAGTTAAAGCAGGTATCCCAGTCATCTTCCCGAACATTATCATCCAAGTTTTGAAAGTTTGTTAGCCTAGTCCACTGCTCTTGGTCAGTAACATTTCATCACGCCCAGATAAGAATTTCGTATCATAACATACACCATGATTAGATACGACGGCATCTATCTTTCCCATCTTCTCCACTGACTCATTCACAAGCTTGAGAATCTCATCTCGTTTCGAAACATCAGCTTGAATAGCAATGAATCTTGGGAACTCATCATTCTCAGCTTTCGGCTGGAGACTCTCCATTTCTTTAATCAAACCGGCGGCTTTCTGAGGACTAGAGTAGTAATTTACGATCACTCGGACCCCACTCGCTGCAAAAGCTTTGGCTGTTGCTGCTCCTAGTCCAGCTGAGCCGGCTGTTACTAGTACCACAGCATTTCGTGATAGAGGCGCCATCGCGATAGGTATGTAGGATGGAAGTGATAGAATATTTATTTTCAATGCTCGTTCACTTTGAGAAGAGGAAAATCGGTTGTTGCATCCACCTGCACAGTTGGGAGGACAATAGTGGAGGAATGAAGCCAGAGTTAGCTTCATCCCAACCTAGAAGTGGGGTACTGTGTAACACATCACGTGACTGTGCGTTACTAATAGAATTCCTTCTTCTGGTTTGTACTTTTCTTGACTGTAGTCATCATTATCTAGGAGGCTTATTTTCAATAAAATAATGACGGGAGTTACTTTTGGTGCTCATTGTAACAAGCCGAACTATCTTTAAGCTTTTGGCGGAGAGGATGGGGGCAGAAGGTTCGATAAACTTCTTCGTAGGTGTTCTGAAAGATTTAGACAAAGAAACCCAAACTATGAATTCGTAGATAAACAGCTCTTTGATGCCATTGTTGTCTCTGACGTGATAGTATTAAGCAATTTTGGGTTATCATCTTGAAACCTACTTCAATCCACTGCAGAAAAGCGTTCTGCGTTTTACTGAACTAGTAATTGCTGTCAAACACTGTAACAGTAATTCAGTTTATAGAGATGAACAAAACACGATAATTGCGAGTGTTGTTTTCATGCCGAAAACAAGTTAAACAATTCTATTCTCTCTTTATATCTTCTCTTGAATGTCAATAATATGGAGGTTTATTCTCGCACCACGAAATCGCAGACCTGCCAGACCTTCAGATCCCTATCATATAAATATAACATATTTCAGCTAAAAAATATGTCACAACGCAGACCTTGCAAAACTTGGAATGATTTTGACAAAGCCTTACTGATGTCCAGGTATTCAGTCAGCATAACTCTTCAAGAATAGGCTACGCACATGAACAAGGAAGTTATCGGACGACGCCTTTGGGCGCGTCGTACATTTACAAAAGACGGATTAAGATCGTTGATGAACAGGGACAGGGATGAGCTAGTCCAAGTTTGGGGTACGAATGGCGAGAAAGCGGATCGGTATCTTCTTACTATTGATGAACTTCTTGCGGAAAGAAATGGCGGATTAGAAACTGTTCCGCAAAAATATATCCCTCAGGAAGAGGTGGTTTTCAAGGTCGAGGATATAAATAATACTCCCAGATCGAGCGAAACACAGCTTTGGTTACGCTTAGTCTTAAACTAAGCACTACGTAACGTTTACAGGGTTTGACACCGAGAATTCATTCTGATAAGAATACATTACATGTCAATCATGGTATCGCTAAAGAAATGACCTTCTGTAAACATATAACGGCGATAAGATCAAGTATAAAGCTATTCCTTTATAACAGCCTAGTAAATATTAAATCGAATCTTTCAAACAAAATAAAACTATGATGGAACAAAAAGGAAACACAACGTATTATTCTGTACATATTATATATGTAGAGCATATATTTGACCTATCTCTGATCCTTTCTAGCTTGAGCCTCTCTAGCGTTATGGTAGCTTTTAGGATTCCGATTCCCCTAATTCTTGCAACAATATAACTAAATTTGGTCTACGTAAAAGCTCGATGGTTATTGAGCTAACCCTTCCCCCCCCTTACATCAATTGTAAGCCCTAGTCTAACCAATTATGCGGTTTTCCCCTCGAGATCAAGGGAATTAAAGTAAAAGATAAAAAGGTAAAGCGCTGTTTGAAAGGATTTTTCCAACCTGAAGTAACAATACCTCACTAGAAACTGTAAACGGAAAGCCGTCTTAGTAAGGGAACATCGCTTCCAAATATTGTTAGACAGTATATTTACGAACAAGCTGTTTCATTTTAACACAGAAGTCGTCGATGAATCAGCCATCTACATTCCTCAATTCTATAAATGGGTAATGAAGTACATCGGATCCCTAAGAGTCGGTCTCTGCTTAGAAGAATGTCGAGTCCAACTTGACGTGTGGAAGGGTAAGATCTTACTTCAGTAATTCCAAGCTCATAGAGTCGAGAATGTAATACTGACCCCCCCCNCCCCCAGAACAAAAATCTAGAAACGTTTTGTTGTTTGCTTCTCTTTATATCATTCCCTATGCCATTCCACGTGGAAGATAATAGAAGGTTGGGAGAAAGGGAGGTAAGCAAGCATTGTTCGTATTCCCGAACAAACGCATTATCTTCCCATAAATACCATACAGAAGGATTGATTCCTTATCACCTCCCTCCACAACCAGCACCTCAGAATGTCTACCCTAGAAAAGAATTCGTCTACTCCATGGAATCATTTTGAGCAAGCCCTCCTCATGTCTCTCTACCCTTTAATCTACCACCTGAATCAAGACAAGCGTCTGAAACTGATTTGGGTAAGCGCGCGAATGAACATAGCAATAAATCGTCGCGGTATAACACACGGTCGTGAGCTCAACTCAATAGTCATCCGGCAATATCTGACCGAAAACCGTGACGGACTAGTCCGTCAATGGGGTGAGGACGGAGCCACGGCAAATCGTTATATTGAAGCTGCTGATACGGTTCTCGAAACCATGAGAGGCAATATCTACAAGATGTTGCACCCTGAAGCCGCGTCTAATGGCCGACTCATACCCCAGGAGGAATTAGTTTCCAATGTTGAGAATTGCCGGAGGTCAATGAATTTAAACCTCCCATGATCATTCGTTATATCACACAAACAAGCCATCCCCTTCTCCTCCACGCCCCACCTGTCCCCAATCAACCCCATCAGACAAATTTCCAACCTCGCAACAAAATTTGTGAACTACGAAGCCCCAAATACGATTGATCCTACAGAACAAAATTGTCTCGAAAGCTCGAATGGTAATAGACCTCACGGCCTCCCAATTGCCGAGTGCAGTAAACGTATTCCTTCCAGACTCGGGAGGAGTAAGAAGGGTTGCACTCCTGACTGTCCACTTTGACAACCTTTCCCATAAAAGAAAGTCGTTTGGTCATTAGGCTACGATTCCAAGCATTTGAGCCTCAATATAACCTGTTTATCGCAGCCACTTATATCCACTTCAAACCCACGTTTGCACATTATTCTCCTGAGTCTGGAAAGCAGACTCTTGGCCTACCACTCAGCCACCAGTATAGCTAACATTTCTCTAAAGCGATGACACCCACCTTCCACACAGCCAAGCTGACATTCATTCACAAAGGTCAATGCCGCACCTTCTCAGTACACCCCCTCACAGGTAGAACAGATCAACAGCAAAGACATGGTTGACTCTCTGCCTTATGATATCTCCCCAATGACATACATCGGCACCATCAACGGCAAAGAACAACGAATCAGCGGCACCATTGAGGTAATCCCTTCTAATCCAACCCAATCCTTCCACATACCAACTCCTAAACAAGAAGTCCATTCCCAAATCTCCAAGCTCGATCATTCTTTCCATGCTAAACCTGAGAACCTCACTTTGAGCACTCGTGACGTATCAGAGACCCGCGATATAGTTTGTATTTTCCTCTAGATGTCTCAAGATATAGAAACACTAATCTTTCCTAAAGAGCGGTCCTCCCTTGTGTCTAGACAAATGGGGCTTCGCAAATGTCGCTCGTATTTTGCAGGGTGTCGCGTATCTTAGTATGTGCCCGAAATACACTCCAACACATGCTTAACCAATCTTTGAGATCACAGATTACTGACATTTAGCAGGGTATCATGGAGGCGGATGTTAGTAAGTGACACAAAACCTCGATGGCTTTTACCTCGTACTAGACACGAGAGACTGTTTTTAACGAACTTTAAAGTGTTAAAGCACTCAAATGTGCCAGAATCTCATGTAGTTACAACTCAGCCATATACCTATGCAACGACGTGATTAAAACCCGAAAAGTTGGGGAATTTCCATCTTGATATATGTACCAGAACGAATTTGGAATTGCCCCGACATGCAATGAGCTATCGGATTATCCGCAAAAGATTATCGATCGGTGTGGTTGGTGGGACCCTGGTGATCTTTTTCACAAACCCACTCAGCAAGTTGGTGGCCAGCAGTTTAGTGATGTCAGGTTCAATATTTATCTTGGCAAGAACAAATGTTAGGACGATTGTGGAGCGGTGATGCTTTGAAATTAGTAAGCTCTTTTTTGGAGGAATGATTCGCTGGGGGAATGATATTCGAGCAAGTACGGAATAGGGAAGGGTAGCGAAATGGGAGTCTTTAGTACTTGAAATAAGGCATTCTACGATTTAATATGGAATGAATATGGAATGAATCACTGTTCATGAAAATCGAATGATGGCAGGAACAGCTGGTATACGAGCGGCAGGAAATGTCTACCTCCTGATCAATTCCTCTAAGAACTTAGGGACGGACATTGTTAGATTTCGACTAATCGAGCTTAACAAGTGAGGATTCAATGACATTGCTATTGAACTTCCAAGAACCAGCAATGTCGGTTCCTAATACCTATGTACAGATCGGTCCGTACCTGCGACTAACCCTTAAGGAAATTCAAGCCACCCCGGCGTGCGGCGAGCTTTCTATCTATATTATCGAGCCTTCCCCCACCCTTCCTTTCCCTTTCCATCTCTCTTTCCCTTCCTCCCCTTTCTCTCTGCCTAAGTATGTAGGTAGGTAGTCATTCCTTAGTATAGAGGTAGATAGATAATCGGTAATTGACTGAGATACCCTTATATATATTATAAATACCTAAAATACCCCTAAAATAATTCGCTTGTAACTAAGATACCCCTTAAATTTAGGGGTATCTCGGTCGTAAAACAAGGGTATATTAGTTAATTTAGTAGTAAAGTTTTACTAGATATCCTGGGTAATTAAGGTGAGTTAGATAATATTTTAGTACTAAATTAGCTACTATATCTCTTTAAGGTGTTTACTCGTAACTCTAGTAATAATAATACTACTAACTCTACCATAAATAGTATCTATAGATACTACTATACTACTTTATCTAGAAGGTAGAGCGCCGTAAGAAGGAAGCGGTATAGCTACTGCGTACTCTTTCTTAATAACTAGTATAAGAGAAAGAGGTTATTAATACTAAGTCTACGGTAGAAGAGCCTCTACGAATTAGACAGGAATAGAGTTCTATTATAGAAGTAAAGAATACTATCTATACTTAGCTCCTTAATTATAGAGAGTTCTAGAGAACTACTAAATCTAATCTAATAAGAGTTATACTTAAGTATAAGAATAAGGTAAATTATAAATTCTACGTCTAGGTAATCCTCTTTATAAAGAATAAACGCGTTATACTTAAGGTATATTCTTCTTATAAGTATCTTTTAAATACGTATCTCGGCTACTACTAGCTTAATAGCGTTAAATATATTTTCTATAACTATAGTAATATAATTAATCGAGATCTAGACCTTAAAGCTAAATCCCTAGTAAATAATAAGATTTTATATAAACGAGGTAATATTATACTATAGTAATAAGTATATCGAGTAGTAGAGGCGTAATAGAACATAAGTTATAAGGAGGAAGAGAAGGCGTTTAAGCTTTTTCCGGTATATATCAAAGAGCTCTAAAAAATAGATCCTAAGTACTATCTTTACTTATAAATTAACAAGTTATTTAAGATGTTTAAAGATGTTTTTATTACCCTAGGACTACTTTATAGAGCTATTAAATATCTCTACTACTTCCTTATAGTTAATACTATATATACGTAGTTAAAGTATTAGATAGTTCTTAGAGTAACTATTATAATTAATACTAATAACAAAGTTTTATTAATCTACTAGGGTATTATAAGATAAGAGGAAGAGATATCTTAGAAGTAGTATTTTAGGTATTTAGGCCTTACCTTTCCTACCCTTCATTAGTTATAGCTAAAGAGAGAGAAGTAGGTGTTTATTAGTAACTATTAAAAAGAATTATATAAAGAGCTTCTACTTACCTTTCTAAAGGCGTATACTCTTATATACTATTAATATATCGTAGATAATATCGCCTTTTAATATAGTTAATAGGAATGTAAGCTTTAGTAGAGACTTTATATAAAGGTTCGATTTCGAGTTTTATAGTAAATAGGTTTTATATATAATATACCTATATTAGGGGTATTTATAGATGCTTAAGTAGTTCTACCGCGGGAGTTTCTCCTTCTTTCCTCGCGAATAATCTATTTGATATTCTACCCTAATATATTATCCGCCTTTTATAAACTAGTTATATCTTATTATAGATAGTAGCGGATTTGGTAATAGGTTTAAGGGTTAGTAATAATCTATAGGCTTATAGAACTAATAATAATAATAATAGTAATAACTATAACTTACCCTTATATTTACGTCTAATAAACTCTTAGATAATATTAATAAGCCTAGTACTCTTACTTAAGCTACTATAGTAGACTCGGCTCTCTTCTAATAAGTATTTAGAGCTATTATAACTAAGTATAAAAAGCTTAGAGATAATAATAAGACTTTTGTAACGGAACGGTGAAGGATACTGCTATTCCACTACTTAGAATCTAAAGCTAAGGAGAGAAGAGCTATCTGAGGAGAAAACCCGAGGTTCTTATGCCAGTAACACCACACACCCAACAGCTCCTTATCCCCCGCGTCTCCCACATCCCTTATCACGCCACGATGAGGGATTTGATGTGTTGTCGTGTTTGCTTAAAGAGTTTTCTGAGGGAGTTGTGTGTTGGCATGTTTGCTTGAAGAGTTTTCCTTCATTGTTTGTTTGCTTGAAGCGTGGGACATGCATGCTCGCTTAGGCAGCCACTTGTCCCGCGGTCACGAGGAAGAATAACCGAATCGCGACATTTGACCCGTGACAACTTTAGAGTTTATAAATAAGTTACTAATCGAATCTCTTACTAAAATAGTCTACGATAAAAAAGATGTAAAAGTAAAGATTAAGGTTATTAAATAAGAGAATACTAACTTATAATTATAAGTATAAAACCTTTAAGAATAACTCTAATAACATGGTTATACTTAAGTAAATATACTACCTCCTACTTCGCTAGCTCTACTTATACTACTTTTACTACTGGCTCTACTAGTATAACTACTTTTATAATAACTAACGTTTCGCTCTCTAGTATACTCTAATCCTCTTAAATTTAGTAGAAAAGCTTATTTCTCTAGTAACCTTTACAGTTACTTTATTAATATAAGAATTAAGTTTACTTAGAACCGAGATTAGTAGCTTATAGAGAATAATTATATAAACTATATTTTAAGTAATTTAAAAAGTAAGGTATATAAGTATATTAACTCTTATATTAATAAACTTAGATAATATAGCCCTACTTTATAGTCTATTAACGCTATCTTCTACTTTCTTAGTAAGACCTTTAATAACCCTTACTTATATAGTAATAGCTTTACTAAATTAATTAAGCTATACTAGGGTAATACTAAGACTAACGAACTCCTCTTTTATTTTATATCTTTTTATATTACCTTAGTGTCACGAATCACGTGTTAGCATGTGACGAGTGAAGACCAGGCGGCGTCCTGACAGGTTAAGCACTATCATGCTCTTATAGCGAATAGGGATCGGCTAGACTAGCTAAGCGATCCAAGGATTTCATTATAGTCACGTGACGGATCTTTGGATCTGGATGGATCTTGGGGATCCTAGGATCCAACCAGATCCATGAGCAAGAAGGTTCTATATAACACTGGCATGTCTGCCATTAGATAGGAGCTTCGTGCTCAACTTAGTTATCAACTTAGTTATCAATCTTATCATATTAGTTTGACATCTTTGATACAAGTAACGAGTTCACTTCCAAGTGAACAACCCGATCGTCTTCTTCTTATCATAGCATACCAACCAGCGAACACCCAGCCAAGTTTAGTTAGCCAGTTTGAGTATTCGTTACAGGAACTCTCTTCTCTCCTCACTTCGTTGTTCGCTCAATACAGCAGTTTCCGTTTGACTCCGTATTCATCACAGCAAGCAGTGGTTCACTCCACACGGTTACATAGAGTTAACTACTACTAAAATCGATAAGAACTAGTTTATAAAGTCGTATATAGGTAGTACTAGATTACTAATTTACTTAATTTATTACTTCTTACTTATAATACTATATTAGTCTAATAAATCGCGAAAATCCTAATTCCTAACCTAACTTAAATTAACTAATATACCCTTGTTTTATAACCGATATACCTCTAAATTTAAGGAATATAATTTAAAGGGTATCTTAGTTATAAGCGAATTATTTAAGGGTATCTTAGGTATTTATAATATATATAAGGGTATCTTAGTTAATTACCGATAGATAATAATAAGTAAATAAAAGAAAAAGAACGGTAATTAACTAAGATACCTCTTAGTTTATTATAAATACCTAAGATACCCCTTAATAAATAGGCGTATAACTAAGATACCCCTTAAAATATACCCCTCAATTATAGGCGAGAAACAAGGGTATCTTAGTTATAAAACAGGGGTATCTTAGTTAATTATATAGTAAATTTCGGAAAAGTGCTATAAGTAATTAAGGTAAATTAGATAGTATTATACCTTAAGGTCTCTATTTACCTACGAGTTTTACCCCGTATTACTAGTATATACTAGTACTATAGTTAGGGCTAGGGCTAATCGATACTACCTAGAATAATATCGCTTAGAACAAAGAACGGGGATATTACCTAGAATAATGTTACTTAAGAAGAATATTACTTAGGAATAGTGTTCGGTAACTAGAATTCTATTCTATTCTAGAGGGGGGGTCTA